GCTATGCTATTGTACCATATCCTCTCATGAACTTTCACTAGTATCTAGTGAGACAAGAATCCTCTCAACTCCTTCAAATTCCTTAGTAAGGGCCAATTAACCATAGCCTTGATCTTGCCCCCCTTCTCCCATTCTGGTCACCACATGTCATATGTACTCCATTTGTAGCTGTGCAAAAGAACATTTTCTCAAATTAGCATACAACTGATGCTTCCTCAACGTCTCTAGAACTGTTTTCAGGTTCCTCACATGCTTTGTCTATGTATAAGTGTAGATCAGAATATCATTAAAGAAAACCAGAACAAATTTTTGGAGATAATGTTGAAAAACCCTATTCATGAGGGATTGAAATATCATCAGGGCGTTGGTGAGGCCAACGGTATCATCAAGAACTCATAATGTTTTTTATGTGTTATGAATCCTGTTTTGTGCACATTCGCTGGATTCTTCCTGTTCTGGTGATACCCTGACTTAAGATAAATTTTTGAGAAAATAACCACCCCATAAAACTCATCTAGTAACTCATCAATCACAGAATTAGGAAACTCGTCCAAAACCATTTTCATGATCAAAGCCCGATAGTCAACGCAGAATCTTCAACCACCATCTTTTTTCTTCACCAACAAGTCGAGACTGGAAAAATGACTCACACTAGGCCTGATAATCCCAGCCTCGATCATCTCTCGGTTCAACTTTTCTATCTCATTCTTTTGATTCTAGAGATACCTGTATGATCTGACGCTGATGGGAGAAACACCCTCCTTTAATGTAATAGCGTGCTCGTGCTCCCTCCGAGGAGGTAACTCGCTTGGCTGCTGGAAAACATTAGTAAACTGTTGTAGGAGTTGTTGAACCCTTTCTGGAAACTCTGCCAACTCTGAATCTCGAACCTCCTCAATTCTCTAAAACTCCACTAAGTAACCCAATCCTGCTCCTCGAATCGAGTTCACCATGGTTTTGAGCGACACTATGGTTTTGCATATGCTAGCATCTCTTCTCAACACCACCTTCCTACCCTCCTCCAGTTGGAACTCCATCGTTAAGGACTTCAAATTCACCTTTATCTCTCCCAATGTTCGCTGCCACTTCATGCCCAAAATTACATTTGTGTTGCCCAAATTTAAAGGAAGTCTTCCACCACCTATAGGCCATGTAGTGTCAGAACCAACAACTTGCAAATTCTTCAACTTTTCTCCACCTTCCCTATCCCCATTATGATGCCAAAGCTCTCAGTAGTCACCAACTTCAACCTCAGCTTCTCCACAACCTGATTTGAGATGAAGTTATGTGTGGCCCCGCTATCTACCAACACCACAATCGGTTGTTCCTCGATCCACCCCCTCACTTTCATAATGTGATTCGGGGGTAAATCCGACGACCGAATTGAGACACTTCTGCAACATCTAAATATAGATGCTCTTCCACTGCATCCTTTTCTGATCCCTCACTCCCTGTATCCTCTCCTGAACTAACATAATATGAAGGACGCGCTCCTTGCAACGGTGTCTTGGGGTGTATTTCTTCTCACAACGGTAGAATAATTCGTCCGCTCTTTTATCCAGCACTTTTGCATCTATGAGGCGTTTGAAACTACACCCAAGGCGGGGTTCTTTATACTTCTCATTCTACATCTCTTTCTGATGCGATATCATCTGGGTCCTCGGTGTGGTGGCTGTTAAGGTGCTTTTGTAGAATCCTCCGGTGCTGCCGCCTTTACTGGTCTTATTCACTTCTTTTTTGTCCTCCATCATCTGGGCGAGCTCCATCATTTCTCTCAATCCTCGTTGTCTGAAGGGGTGGATGGCCGCTCATATGTCGGGCTTCAGGCCTTTCAAGAAGTTCTCTTCCAAGTCAACTGTAGAAATCTTATTCAACCTCCCTGGCAACAACTCAAATTTCTCTCGTTACTCCATGATTGTCCCCTCCTGAGTCAGAGCATAGAATTGCTCATGTAGGTCTCCTTTCTGAATGACTCAGAAGCCTTCCAACCAACAATCCTTGAACTCCTCTCATGATCGGATATCTTGCCTCCATCCACTAGGACCATGCTAAAACCCAAGGGGTTCTCTTCCTCACTTAACCCGTTGATTTCAAAATATCGCTCCATCTGATACACCCATCCATTTGCATCCTCCCCTTCGAAGATTAGCATCTTCAGTTTCCTAATCCTTGCATCGCCGCCCCAATCTCATCTTTCTTCGGTATTCCCCCCATGTGTCTAGAGTTCGGTCATAGGCATATCCCACTTCTGAATCCCTCCTTCCTCCATCGTTCTTTTCCATGCCCCTTACTCCATCTCTCCTCCAATTTTCGGCCCATCCCTTTCTATCGGGAGTCTCCACTCCCCCTCCTGTCGAAATCTTAGGGGGAGGCTCTTGTAGGTAGATGAGGTCTTCTTTGTGGTCTTTTCGGTCGATTTCCTTCCCTTTTGACCTAGCCAAGGATTCCCAGATTAATTTTTGGTTAGAATTTGCAACTGGAGCGATGGCAATGACCTTGGCTTGCATCTCTATGAGCTTTTTCATTATCTCCCACATTTTTCCTATGCTTTCAAATCCATCCTCCATTCGACTTTCAATGGAAGAAAACCTGCCCTCCATGTTGATGAAACACTTTTCCATTTCTGATTTGATTTATTTGATTTGCCCTACGCTGTCTTCTAACACATCCACTTTCTTTGTTGTCATCCTACCAAAATCTATGCTCTGATACCAATTTGATACGCATCGGAACCAAAATCAGCGAGCAAACCACGACGAAGCGACAATAGATAAGTGAAAAAAAGAACACACAAACGAGGGTTGCTTTTACAAAAGATCAAAGAAAACAAGCAAGATACAGGGTTGATCTACTATTCGAGAGGTAGTTGTCTCTCCCACACCCTAGACGCCACTAGGAACACCACAAGAAGAAAGAAAACAACAACCAGAATACAGGCATAAAAGAAAACAAACCTTAAGTTTTTCCCCTATAAGAACCCCCTGCAACCTTCTGAAAACTTTTTTTTTCACTTTCCCTCCATACCTGTTTTAATTTCTCCTCCTAGAGTATGTAATTAAGCCACTCATGGACCCCAAACTTTCCCCGCTTTCTTCTCATGTGGAAAAATGCTGCTCTGCGTCTTCGCTCGAACAGGATTGACCCACCTATGGGTTTGGCGGGCCAGTGGGAGGTCATTCAACCGGTCACTCCTGGGCCGGTCCCATGATGGGCGTAACAGTTCTATTTTATGATTTTGTGCTTGGGCAATGATTATTCTTTTTTTTTTTGTAAAAAAGTATTATTTATATTTATCAAAAGACTTTTCTCTTAAGAATGTTCACATATAGGCTTTGAGCATGGATTTCATCAATTTTTTTTTCCTTTACTTGTCAAATCTTGTTGAGGAGAAGATTTCCTACTTGATTCTTCAATTAGTTTCTCAATTTAGTGGGCTGAGATCTTTCCCTCACATTTCATGGATTTCATGTCATTCATTTTCATCCCTTCTTTTTGCTGTGCCACTCGTTGTTCAAAGTTTTTAATTATAATTCAGCTCATACACCTGATGACAGTTTTTTATATTCTATGGTGCTGTTGTTGATTTTCAAGATTATGATTGTTTATGAATCTAATTGTTAGGAATTGACAAGCCACATTAGAATCCTGTTTTATTTACATCTGTTCACTATCTCTCAAATTGATGTTTATTTATTGGCTTGTCATTGTTGGATCATACGATTACCAACGTTATTATAGGCGAGCTAGTTGTTCGCCTTAGCACCTAGGCAAGATGAGACAACACTCCAACACCTCAAACACCCCGCATGTAAAAACCATCACTAAGACATACCAAGGAGAGAGACCTAGCATAAGGTGCTAGGTTCCTTGGCGCTTGAGTCCATTATGCAAAATTTTTTTATTATCTTTTTAAGTAAAAAAATATGTTATGAGGTGGATAACGACAAATTTCATGATGTAGAGGAGAGTGTGGCTGATGAATAAGATGAATTAGAATAATGAAGATTAAATTACTCTTTTGCCATAACCATTACCAGCTTATGTTTTATTTTGCTTTGAAAAACTTATAACACAACTTTGTACCTTGTATGCACATTCATTTAGATGATTTCTTTTGCAAGGTACATTTTGGTTGTTGGAATGATACAAAATTTGCAACTATATTTTTTCTCTACTATATTTAATATTTTTTTGTGATTATTATTATATTATATTTGACAACAATTTTTCTCATAATTTAAATTGTTTCATTTTCAGTGCCTCACTTCACTTAGGTGAGCACCTGAGTTGGCACCTAGCACATCTAGTATATTGGCAGGCACATATATTAAGTATACCTAGTGTTTTTCATAGCACTCACGATTACAAATGGTTTTCTTGGAGATTGTCTGGCTAATCTCTTCAAATGTTAAGATTGCTGATGCGAGGTGTGTATTTCCCTGCTTTGTTGAATGTTATATGCAGTTAGCTGCAGGATCTTTCTCTGCTAATGTTTTGATAGGTTCTCCCTGTCATAATTTGAGAATTAGCTCTTTATGTATTTTGTGATTCAACCTGCTTGATACAATTCGCTTTTGCTTGTTTGCTTGGAGGTAAAAAAATCATTTTTAGTGAATTCAGGAAGTTTATGTAGATCTGTTGTTTAATATAGGATGCTATTTCTTATGCTGCATTTAGTGTGTCTTTTTTTAAGATTTATTTAGCCCGACCTTTGCCCACAAGCTTTTCCTGAGTTTGCATGAGCTTCTACAATTACAATGTGGCTTTTAAAGATATAATGATGTTGAAATCATAGTTAGATTGCATTAATTGTTTTTTCCTTTTGTTTTGCTTTTTAAAAATTTGATTTATATTGAATAGCATTCTACTATGGACCAGTAATCTAGAGTCTTCTAACAGAATAGTATGATAAAAGACAACCGACACAACATATATAAGAACAAATCGCTTTACTATATTGAACACCTAGAAATAACCCAGTTTTATTGCTATGGCTACAGGAACTTTGGTTCAGAAAAGTATGGGCTATCCTTTGTCTTTTCTGTTAGACTGGCATTTTCAATGCAAATCATTGGTTTTTCAGTGAGGTTCTTGTCCTCATTTTTGTGGATTCAGATGTATAGACTGGGGGCTACAACAGTTGACAATTTGGGCTATCAAGATATTGATTTCCATGCGACAAGTAATTATATAAATCCGGGATCTAATGTACTAGCAAGACAGGACTCTAATTCCAGCGATATACTAGGTGGGTCCATTTATGATCCGGCTTATTATTCTTCACTTTTTGAAGATGACCAAGTGAATTGCATCCAGGAGGTAACCTTGCAAAAACACCTTTTTTGCAAGTTCTTTTTTTTTGTTTGGACTGTGATTTAGTTGGCACTATATGCATTTTTTTAAAATTTATGCCTGCATAATATCTTTCCACATAAATGTTTGCTTTTGGGAGAAATACAATGGAGATGTCACAAATGCTAAAAACTTCGACTAATTGGGATTCTTTTTTAACTAATGTATTTGTTCTAGGAATTGTTATGTGATGTAGGCATGATGTTTCTTTCTCTCCTTTGTTCTCTCTGCTCCTCATGTCAACAAAACTTGCTTATAAGAGTCAGCATTCAATCAATTTGGATGGTTCGTTCTACAAATTAGCTAAAGCAATTTAATTTCAAGCATAAATTAAAAAAGCCAATCTAACTAAACAATTTTTCAAACCAAACGAAACCAAGCCGAATTTAGTTCAATCCACTTTTGAATGAAAATGAATATAATTAACTTAACAATGAATCAAATAATCTTTAGCTTAAATAATATATATTAAAAAGAATACTAAATAATTTTTGTTAAGCTGTATAATTTTGACATGTGGAATAAATAATATGCAAGTTGATCATGTCACTTGTTTTTTTACATGGATTTATTGATTTAATATTTAAAGGAATTAATATAATTCAATTTTGATTTGATTGGTTTTACAACATGAAAAATTGAACTTTAAATTAAAAATCAAAGGAAGTAATAAGTATAGTCCATGACCTAACCGATACTTCAACAACCGAATCAAACCAACCAAATAAGATCAAATTGATTTGATTTTTTTTATTATATAAATAATACACACTTTTATGCGATGAAAATCTTTTTTGTCTGTTGAATTTCAAGTCATATTTGCAAGAATAGTTTAAATTGATTTATTGATATTTATTGGTTTTGGAGCTTATTTGGTTTTAATAAGGTATAATGAACATAAATATGTTGTTGAATTCTAAACAACTCCTCATTTCCATAGTAAACAAGCCTAAGCCCAGGTTTTTTATTGTGCTATGTAGTTTCAAGAAACTCTTGGATGGGCCAACAGGTTACAAGTGCATCAAAAATCTGTCATATCACAAAAAAATTGAGAGAAGTGTTAAAGACAATGCTGTCCAAGTTTGCTATATATATATATATCAAGATTTAAATTTGTGCAACTAAGATTTGAGTCGTTTTCTATCCTTGAGGTGAGGCGAAAGCCTCAAAATGAAAACATTAAATTAATAAAAAACTATGAAGTAAAAAAGTAACATATTAAAATAAAAAAAAATCATTTCTCGAAGCATATTTATCACAATAAATCTTCCTACTCCCAAACCAATGTTAGCAATTATTTTGAGAGTTTGTTTGGGATCAATTTTATTTTAAAAACAAAGGATTTATGTAGCCGACCCCACGTAGTGGGATTAAGGCTTTATTGTTGTTGTTGTTGTTGTTTTTGTTTCCTTTGTTTTTGAAAATATGTTTGTGTAATGTGTTTTTAACAAGTTTTATTTTATTTTTTTTAGTAAAAACAAGTAAACATGTTTTTAAGAATATTCAAAATAACTTTTAGGTGGCTTGAGTGTTTTCAAAAACAACAATATTTTAATCAAACATTCCAGATATGTTTTGTTTCAAATCAAAATGTAAACAAAATAAAATACAAATTAGAAAGAAAAGTGGTCCCAAAATGGCCCCTAAGCCTCTAAAATTATAAATTGTAAATTCAAAACTCTGTATTACTTTCATCATTAAGTTGTTTCTCGTAGAATCATAGGTCTATTTTTTGCCACCTCAACCTTCAATTGATTCACAACAATTATTCTCTTATTTCGGAGGGCCAGTGTGGGAACCTCCACTATAATGTATCACTAACAACATGATCACCTCCGACAACATTTTTTATACGATTTAGTCCCACATTCCCAACAAAAGCATCCCTTTTCTAAGTTAAAGTTCAAGGGATGAGTGCCTTGGCTGAACACATGGTAAGAAGGCACTTGTGAAATGGTGAAGCATTGCCAGATTGTCATTGCGGGTCCCTTAAACAACATGCTTCTCCTTTGTTTAAAAAGTTTTCTTCCTCCATCTTTGTCTATTATTATTTTGGAATTGCTTGCTTGTCATAGTAAGCATTACCGCATTCGTAGTGCTTAGACCAATGACACCACTAATGATGTTTCTTTTTGGCATGATAGGAGAGATTATTTTATGTTATGGTGCTTTGCATAACAGCTATACTTCTCCTGGTGTAATGGGTGATGCCTTTTATGAGGTTCTCACTTACAATCTTGGCATAATGGGAGTATTTTTCAGAGCTTCAACAAAATTTGGACAAAAGAAAAAAAAAATTCCACCCGTAAACATGGGCACTATGTGGAAGCAATGTGGGAACAAACATTGGATGGCATGAACATAATGAATAAATGCAACAAACTTAACAAACAAAATTGTACGAATTTCGCTAAACTTGAATGAAATGTGAACAAAAAATGAAAATGAATTTCAACTTACACAAGTGTTTATGCGTAAATTGATTCATCTTTTACGTTTAATAATGAAATCAATATTTGACTAATTGCTCAATTATGCTAGAATTTGGTCACACGATTCGATCAAGCCTGGTAAAACTCAATTTGTTGACAACAAATTTGATTTCTTCTGTATTTCTTTTCAAACAGTCGTGACTATATCAGCATCAATGAAAGATTGATCTTTTGACATCCAGACGTGATTGTTTCAACTAAATGCCACCAATGATAGAGTTATAATGAACCCTTCTCCATCACAGGTAACATCTGTACCGTTCCTGACAACATATGAAAGGCATAATGAAGCTAATGCACACATCTTTGTGCTGTTGGACTTTTTTTAGGTCACCTCTAAGTAATCACAAAGTTTTGATTCTTTTCCAAAATTGATATGATTTCTCTTGTGAACCTATGTTACAAAATAAAATTATTTAAATCCATATGTTTGTGTTTGGATTTCTCTGCATATCTACTTATACGTTACCTAATTCTCCTATATTAGAAGTAACTTAGCCTGTTAATTCCCCATACAAGTTACCTCAAATTCTTTTCGAAAGGGTGGAAATTCTTGACTTCACATTGGCACTATTTGTGGGAAGATATACTGGGTTGTAGAAAGTAGTAATAGGTGGTAATAATGTTGAAGGGTTTTAGGTGACTATCAATGAATGAAAATGATTAATCCACAAATCACATTCAAAAGGCTTCTAATCCAGCGCTGGCTGCTCCTGTTTCTACTTTTTAAACTCGAGCTCAAGTTGATAAGCTGTGTGCAAGCAAAAGGAAAAGGATTCATTAAGAGAAAATATTCTCAAGTTCACTGGGGCAACTCTTGAGGTCTCTGATATTGATATTTTACTTGCAAAGTTCGCACTTACTCTTTGATTGAGTTAGTGTACATTCAAATTCATTGTAGTTAGTAATTCTCTAGAGATATTTGGGCTCTGCTATAGAAAGCAACTAAGTGTGTGAATGCTAAGGAGATTCTCCTTGAATTTAATCTCTCTTTCAACAAAAGTTGTTCAATCATTAAAAAGAAGAAAAAAAAAGGATGGCTGAACCTCTCAATTTGAAATCTATCGAATAATGTCATAGATAATTGGATTTCCTTACACATGGAGGGCCATTAAAAAAAAAATCAATGGCATTTTGCTTTGCCCTTAACTTGGCCGAAGAACCGTCTCCCATCACTAAAGCATGGTCACAATTTACAACATGGAATACATCAACTGCTTAATTCTATGAAAGGGCTTTAGAGAGAAGAGACTCATGCAACTTCTATCTTTATTTAAATGATCATGATAACAACACCAATTAATTTTGTGTACCAAAATGTCCTCATTGAGAATATGATCCATGAGAAACACTTTATGGAGTTATTCACTATCTATGTAACAATTAACAATTTTTGAATGTAGATCAACTGAATCAAAATGGATTTAGGCTATAAAGTTCATTGAGTATGGGCCAGTTGGAAACAATGAGGTAAATATTGCTCCTGATCACCCATCATTTCTTTTATTAATGATGATTTGTTGGTCAACTGAATTGTGTGCCATGGCGCATTCACAATGAAATTGTTATCAACCACTATGTACTCGTCTTAATATCGATTAACACAAGTAGTTTAAGTAATTTTTCTTTTATCTTCTAGCTAACAAGCATGGCTTGGGTGCTTAGAATTTCAGGGCTTAGAGGGATTATTTGGTTGTTTTCTCAAGTGAGAGACAATCCATAAATTACTTTATGAATGCCATACATGAATCTGAATCTTAAATTCTTGCCACTAAAGACGATAGTCAATCAAATCTTTGACCAATTAAGGAAGTTGTTGAAGTTCAAATCTCAAAGGAGAGACATTTGGATGATCTTTTTTTATAAGGTCCCTCTCTGAAGGTAAAGTATGAATATATTTTATCAATCTCCCAAGAATTAACTTAAAGATGCTTTTGCATAGGAGTTATTTGAGATATGTAGGGTTTGCTTGAATGGCACCTATCACCTCCCACGCATCCATTCTAAAAATAAAGCCTTGAAACAAAATAAGAGCTATTTTCAAGCTAGAGATCCATCATGCCAATAAAGATGAGTATAAACTTCTTGACTTTGGATTCATCTGAGAAGTTCAATTTCCCGTGTGCCCGTAGCATGATGATGTTGAAGAAAACTAATGATAAATGAAGAATGTGTGTTTAAGAACTTAATAGAGGGATACTCTTTGCATAGCTTCCTCAATTTGTTTCTTGTTATCATTGGATAAAGATAAGCTCTTTTGATGAGTGGATTTGAGTTTCTTCAGTTATGAGTGGACCTTTTATATTGGGTGCATGATCGCAATTGGATCATGATAAAGTTTTCAATGTACTGTCACTACTCTGGATATGTGCTCATTGATCTATCATGTGGTTGCTTTTTTCATGATTTTTGATACTTGAAATTGTATTTCTGGAAAAATACCAAAAATACCAGGTATATTAATAGAAGGGGATTAGATCATTATAAATATTTGTGTATCGAGGCATGTAGAGGGAGTTCGTTCTTAATAATAAAATTCTCTATTTCTTTCAGTCTCGTGTTTGGTTGGATGTTGATTCTTTTGAATGTCTTAGAAATGCAACATAAAGGCATTTATGCCTCGAAACCTCTAGTGTGAAAAATATTTGGTTATTCTTAATTTCACTTTTACTCAACCATTCTCTTAATGAAATGCATTTATGAACTAAAATGAGTCTTAATATCGCGTACTAGTATAAAACTTCACTAATACATCAACAACTTGCATGTAATTCATCATAAAAACATATTTTTAATATTAATTATCTTTCACAGGTCATTTTCATCATCTTTTGTCTTTATATTTACTTGAAAAAAACAAAACAGCTTTAATTTTAACCTGCTACACGTTACTTCGTTGTTTCCTGTCTTTCATTCTCTGCTTCATGACAATATGAGCTTATAATTTTTCTTTTACTGTGCAGGGTGGCAAGAAAACTTTTGGTCAGGCTTGGGGATCGGCATCATCTTCTGGATCACCCCGCCTCAAATCATGCATCAGCAGATCATTCCAGACTTCTCCTGATCGAAGTATGTGCAATGCATCCATTTTCTATTTGTGCAATTTACATGCATACCTCCCAATTCCTAGGTATTTACCTATCTAACACCTAAAATTTACTTTTTTTTTTATATTTGCACGAATCAAATCTTTCATATCACGTCAAAAATACCACCGTTCTAACTTTAAAAAGGTGGAGTACATCTTTTCATGCATAGGTAAGCTGATATCCATGTAAAAATTGAAGTTTAGGTGTTGGATATGTTAATACATGAGAACTGGATGGTATGCATGTAATTACTCCTCGGCATTTTAGTACTTGACATATCAATTTCTTTTGTGCTTCACCCATATTGAATCGCCACTTAATCTAAATCTACCTTATCTCACGCAGCCCAAAAACGTTAAAACAAATGTTTTTATGACCACTCTAAACTCTTTATCTTAATGCTGCAGGTTGATCAATCTCCATGAAAATTGAATTTCATTTTTGTAGCCAAAGTTTATAGGATTCTCCGCAGGCGGACCGCGGACATGCCGTTCCATAGACGACCCGGTGATGCACCGCCACCCATTTCTTAAGGTGAATATATGCCCGTTGACGGGAATTTAGGAGCAGAATGGAACACATTTCTTTCATTTTTTTTTTTAACCATGAGCTCAAAAATGCTGATGATTGCAGCAAGTAGATAGTGAAAGAATGAAGGTCATGAGTTTTCTGGCACTTCTTTTTTTTTTTTTTTTTTGGCATTTGTTAGATTGAGGGAGCATTTCCCAGTGAAGAGAGCAAAGAGTTCACTGAATATGATTCTTATATTTTGGGCATCTTATTTCTGTTCGACTAAAATAAGTATGTGTAGATCTGCGGCCAACAGTGTTGGCTTTTGTGGTTTTGTAGAGACATGCTTCTTGTTTTAATTTTTGATTGAGTTTTTTTTCTACTCATTTTGGATGACATGTATGGTGATTGTTCTTTTTTGTTTTTAGCTCAGAGATTGTTTATCGTTCGAAAATTAAATTGAATCTTTGCTCAGATTGTTCTCAGATCGAAATAAAAGAGTTGAATTGAATTTTTTTCAAGTTAATTTTGAGGTGCTTATAATTTTTTTTATTTGTAAAAATTATATATATAATGCTAAGTAAAATTAGATAGAATGAGTCACAAGGCGATTTCGAGCTAGATTATATCCAAATAACTCAATTTGATCATGTTACATTCAATTTTGAGTCTGATCAAGTCGATTCTGAGCTAAAATGGATTCAAATAACTCAAATTGAGCCATCTTATTTCAATTTCGAGCCCTGATTCAATTTGGAGTGGGCTCCGTTCGACGAATCAATTTTGAGCCACACTAAATTTATTGGAGATCATTTCAGGCTGACTTAAGCTCGGCTTGAAATCTAATCATGAACGGTGTAACAAAGCGCCAATACTCTTTCAAGTTTGTTTTTGAAGTTCGGATCTTTTTTTTTTTTAATTTTTTTTTTTACAATATTATATTTTCACTATCACCGAGCAACCAAATGAGCCCTGAATGTTTTGTTCACATTAAAATCATGATTATTCCTAAAAAAGACTGCAAATTCTTTTCATGCAAAACACCCTCACCCATCCTATAATACGATCACGTGTGGGGAGGCTAAGTGCAACAAGAATCTAATTCCTTTCATCTCTTGATAGCTCCGGTGTCAAAAGCAAGCATACAAAAAGAAATGAAGTAGGCAGTTTTTCTGCAAAATTAAAGCGTAAAGTGAATGGACGTCTACAAACATACCCCCTAATTCCTCTGTATTTATATATCTGACATCTAAATTTTATTTTTTACATTTATACCACCCATATCTTTCATCTTACATCCTTTTCATGCATAAACGGCGGTATGCATCTAAAAATTGAAGTATAGGTGTTAGATATGTAAATACATAGGAATTGATTGATATTTATGTAAATCTTCCAAAGTAAATTGGGTGGTGAAAAAAGGCATATGCAGAACTTCACAGCAGAATTATTCTTGTGAATCCAGCCTACAGGTGTTGCTTATTTATGCTTCAGAATCTGACTCTTACCTCGTGTTGTTTAGACAGAGATTCATGCTGCCATGATCCTTGTACAACTATGGCAGAACAAAATAATGGTCCTAAATCTGCACCGACCGATCATCTAAATATTCATGGGGATCAATCAAGCTCAAGTAATTCAGCACTAATTTCGAAGCCTCGGTTATATCAGATGGTCTAACTCAAATTATCCCTAACACAAATCTCAGATGGTTTGAGATGAGCCAAAATAGCACATAATGAGAAAAATGTCAAAATGATCTCCTGATTCTTTGCAGACTAACATTTTAGTCTTGGAACTTTTAAAAATGTCAATTTAGTTACTAGACTCTTTAAGTATTTATTGGTTGAAATGGTCCCAGCGAAACATTTTTATAAACCCAGGCACTAAAATGACCCATCTAAAATAGTCACAAGACTATTTTGACACTTCGCTCATCAGCTAATAATCCATGTCCAACTAGTAATGAAACCTACCAATCATCAAAATATAGAGAATCATTCCATACTCAGATCTTTCCTCTACCTTTGCATTCCATTAGGTGGGAGATTGCCAAAAAGGTATGAAGAGTCCAAATTCTACCTCATATGCGTGCAGTTTCGATCCTTCAAATCCTTTCACTTACGTCAATGTCGCAATCAATTATCATCTCAATCTAGAACGAACAATGAAATATGTAAGTTGAGCAGTTATTGAAACCTTGGTTTTAATCGGCGTGCTATTAATCTTGAGATCTAATCAATCCATCCATCTCAATGCTTTATTTGGAGGAGTGGTGATCCTTAAAACAAGAAAAACTTAAACATCAGTGTTAGGATAGAAGAGGAACAAATGACAGTATTTTTACAGGCATGGTCCAACTTTTTTGTAGTTAATTGAACATTGAAATAGCATGCTGTAAATTGCAATAGAAATTAATGGTATCACCTTGGACACCTTGGATAGCACTGCAACTGCAACAAAAAAAAAAAAAATCTAAGTATTTGGCTTAGGCATTCCTATTTTGGATGTTCGAAGGTATAGACTTTTTGAATGCATGCTTAAAATATGATATGGATTTAATTGCAACCAACCAATACAACAAAACTACAAGTTTTACCAAAATAACTATTAATCATAAAACCAATTATTTTTGCTATATTTGATGAGAATCAATGGTAAAAATACATTCAAATGAAAGAGTTTCGGTGTTCTATTAGAAAAAAAAACCATAAGAAAGTTAAAAGGATCTCGAAAGTTAGACACACAATTGAAATTTTGTGCAGATGGCAGAAAATTGGCTTGTACAAAAATTCTACAAGATTCCCTCACACTTTCAATCAATCATGAAAAACAAACAAGTGGGGCAGTTTAACAAGGAGGAATAGGAAAAACATCAAGATCTGTGATGCAGTAAAACACGCGTAAATCACATAAGTATACATGCCCATCAATTAGTATACGGATTGAAGGGTTCATGTATTGATCCTTCAGCGAACAAATTAATTTTTCAGAAAGACGAATTTCTAGTCTATTAATCCTAGGTTCAGTTTGCAGTTTTGAAGGTTTGAGAAATTTTAAAGATTTCTGAAATCTTAATTTGAAAAAGCTAAATCAACAAGGTTTGTATTTTTTATTGTGAGAATCATGCTCTTTTGACTTGGATCGTATAAATACTCGATATTTTTCCAATGAATTTTCAGTCTAAAGTTGAAAACTAGGCATAAATACTCATTACTATATTCCTAGACATAAAAAATGTTGGAGACTCATATCAGAGTTAAGTTTTGTTTAACCATACAAAATCTCCCAAGAATCCTCTAATCACCTATATGGTTACAATCTACTAGTAATAATATTCATATTCTACTAGGTAATTGAGTGTTATCCTACTGGTTCTTCTAGCCTATAGTTAGTAATCTTAGATCAGAAGGGATTTTAACATTACTATTAGTCAGATTGAAAGTAAACGAAGATTAAAAAAATAACACACCAACATGCAATTAAATCCCACATAATCTCAAAGAAATCTCAAAAATAAAATACGATTCAACACACATTCAAATTAAATAAGCATAGAGAAATTAGTTCCTAAATATTTTGAGAGAAAAACAGACAAACTTCATTGAAAATCAAAAATGAAATTGTGGCGTAACTACTCTCGAACGCAGGGACGACTGACTTAACGGACGTTGGGGCGGTGG